ATCAGATTCACCCTCTGTTTCTATTTCTCCATCTTCTCTCAAGATCATCGTGTGCTTATTAGGACATTGCGATGCAACATGCCCCCTTCCCAAGCATTGAAAACACTTGATGTCTCGGTTTCTGCCTTGCGTATTATCTGTTTTACTCTTCTCATTGCTGCCAACTTCTTTTGACTTAGATGCTGCAGTTTTAGGCTTAAAAACAGAATTTTCTTCCTTTTTGCTTCAATTCAGTTTCCAAGAAGATGAGGAACCTGAATTTTGCCCAGTTCTGGTGGTGGCTCATTTACGCTTGAGTTGTTGTTCTACTTTCATCGCCATATGCACCATATCTTCTAATTCCACATAATGCTGCAGTTCCACCACATTAGCTATATCACGATTTAAACCATGCAGAAACCGTGCCATAGTTGCTTCTCTGTCCTCTTCGACATTCGCCCTAACCATTGCGATTTCCATCTCTTTGTGATAATCCTCAATGTTTTTGGACCCTTGAGTAAGGCCCTTCAATCATTGATAGAGATCACGGTAGTAGTGACTAGGAACAAATTATTTTCTCATCACAGCTTTCATCTCTTCCCAAGTGTTAACAGGACGCTCTCGATTTCTACGTCGACTAAGCACAAGCTGATCCCATCACACCACAGCGTAATCAGTAAATTCCACCGTTGCTAGTTTCACCTTTTTCTCCTCAGAATAGTTATGGCAATCAAACACCAATTCCACCTTCTTTTCCCACTCCAAATACACATTTGGATTATTTTTCCCTTGAAACGGAGGAATCTTCATCTTGATGCTGCCTAAGTCATGATCTTGCTGATCTCCCCACCTTGCCAGATTTTGGTCTCCTTTGTTAAATCTATGTCTTTGACCCCCTCTACCTCTCATAAATCTGTCCATGCTGAAATTTGAGTTCTGGGCGTCATTGTTGAATGCATCATTATAATCGTCATCGAAATCATCATTCGCATCATTCTTACGCAAATTTAGACTTCCATTTTGTGTTTGGTATAACTTGGCTATCGCTGCATCTTGCTTCTCCATTTTGTCTTTAATCTCACCAAACATGATGTCCAGCCTATGAAATTGTTGTTGCATTACTTTGAGCATGAAGGATTCATCCACATGGTGGCCTCTAGTGGTTGATTTGTCATCACCACTTGACATGATTGAAACTTGTGACAAATGTTAGAAACAGAAGAATAAAAAGGACCTCACAACACTCCCTTACATGTTTCACTCCACTCTCTCATAGAATGGTACTCAATGCTCGTGTTTTACACACTGTAGAACTTGGCTTTTCTCTCAAATGTTGCTCACACCTCTTGCCTTTTTCCCTCACTCAACTTTCCTTTTTCAGTTTGTTATTGAACTAAACAAGTTCAATTCAAGTTATTTTGTAGCAATCTAACTCCAACAAATCTGCAAGAGTTAAAGGAAACAGAAAGGCACAAAAGAACGAACAAGAAAACCAATAAAAGAACCAAACCTAAACAAATTAAAACGAAGAGATCAGTTCAAGCACTTCTTAGTAGGAATTGACTTGACTATTCCTTAATGCAGTAGGATTCCTAACTTAGGAAGGAATAAACAAAATTGCTATCTCATTGTTTGAATAGAACTCAAAGAGAATTTCCAACTCCTTATTGGAGTAGGATTCCTTCTTCTTTAAGGATTTGGCCATAGATTTGTTCTCTATATAAGGAATTCCAACCACA